TCTGCTCACTTGTCGTCTGCAGCTTCTCAAACTCATTCTTTGAGTCTGAGTCCGTATTGTTGTTGTTGTTTTAGCAGGGGGCATGCCGCACATGTGCGGACCCCGACTTTGCCACCGATTTCTGGGGCTTCTGGGGGTGCGCAAACAACGCGATGCAGGAGGTCAACGTGGAACGCGTGTGCATTGAACTGAGCGTCATAAATCGCCAGCGACACGGTCGCGTTTTCGGGGCGTTTTCAGTCGCCTCTAGTGTTACCCACTTTTCTAATTTCCATTTTCCTTCTTTTCCGCCTATTTGCAGTGAAAATCTTTTGTACCTGTTGTGTCGGCAAACTGCTGAAGGCAAGCTCCCGAAGGTGAGTCCTTAGATCCTGTTTTGTTTTCGGCTTCTTTTCTTTCACCTTCTTATGAAGCACGTGCCACGTATTATGAAGCTGGCTAACACACACACACACATTCATGGTTGAGGGGTGTGTGTGTGTGTGCACAAGGCAAATATTTACACTCAATGGAACATAATAAAGACATTAGGGAAATATTGTGTTATGTGGGGGCATAACTCAAGTTCTGTGGGTGGAAATTGTATAAAACTTATCAGCCCACCGCAACCCCCCTCTGTTTTTCCCCTCCCGCTGTGTGTGTGTGTGTGTGTGTGCGGGACACTTTTCTTTATTGCTCTGCGAGTTGTCAATTTCCGTGTGTCTGCCTGTCTGCTTTTCCCACCCGTCTTCCCCCCACCCCTTTTCCCCAGCCAGGATGCTCGGTATTGTTTTTCACGAGTTCGGTTTTTGTTGGCTGAAAAAAAGAAGGTAGTTTGCCTGTCTAGTGTTTACATTAGACTGCACATTAAACAACACACGCTGGATTTTTATTCGTTGCTGAAATGTTCACAGGCAACAAGTTCTCTTCTTTATAATCTTCAAATCACAATAAACAATGTTTTGTAGTAATACAAAAAGTATTTAAACAAAGTTTATGTTTAAGGTTCGAGGGGTAATATTGTTTTAAATATGTTATTTACTTGGCGGGCAGGAAATTGTAAAAAAAAGGATTATAATTTAACGTTTAATTGGGTAAATAATCAATCCTATACTTAAGTAAGCCAACTTTAAGCTTTGCAATTAATTAAAACGATTCTTAGTGCCTCATTAAACACATCAGTTGTTTAAAGCTTAAGTTTTAATTCGTTTTAATTGGCTAAATCAATTTCAATCAACTTATTAAAAGACAGATGCAAGGCTTCCATTTAATTTGCATGCCATGTATAGCCTACTTTCCGACTAAAAAGGGTTTAAACAAGCTGAAATGTAACTTAAACCGCTTTCCATTGCCAAGTATTAAAGCATTCGAGGCCAACAGCTCACTCAGAACGAAAAGTTTGCGTATTAGTTTTCCGCAGCACATGAATGTTTTAGTGTGTTGTCGAGTTTGGTCCACTGTCAGCTGGGATATGCATAAATAACATTGATTGATAAGCCACCCACACATAGTGTTTGCCAGGTATTCCGAATGATTTCGAAATGATTACCCAACTCAATGTCGCTCTCTGAATGATATGCCACTTAATAGATACTAAAGCAAAAACCTTATGAGTCCATCAATGGACCAACTTATGAATGAACTGCCACCACTTTGGGGGAATCAATTAGCTCACCTTGACTGTTTGCCAACCGATTCAATTATAAACCTTTTTACAGCTCGTCCTTGCCCCAAAAAAAGAGTTTTCGCATTAAATATGTGCCACTTTCCCCAAACCAGCTGGAAAAGAAAAGTGTGAAAAGTGAGAAACTGTGTGGTAACAAGGGAAAATGTTTGACAGTTTTTTGGACTATAGGCCAGGTATTCTATATGCTAGTATTCTAGAGCAAATGGAAAGTTTTTTATTTGTTGGGCAATGCCTAATTGCAAGTCGGGATGACAGTCAAAGCCAATTAGAGACAGTTTTCGCATTCTAAGCCAGCTGAAAAGCAAGGTTAGGGGGCAAATTGGGGTCAGGTACCGGCTCTTTCCTGGGAACTTATCAGTCATGCAAACAGAGAAATGCTTTCACCATCGCCGAATCCCTCGATCCTTCGCCCCCGCAATGACACACGTGTTAAGGTGGAATTATTTAGACTGACAGGCTGAAACAGAAGCCGAGGAAGCTGCTCCGCGTGGGCGTTTAGCATTGGGGAAAATTGATTAGATTAGGCAAAATTCAGAGGAGATAGAGGGGCTGCCAATTTCCCTTTTCGGAAGTTCCTTAAGCTCGCATTTAATCACATTTAAATTGCACTCAATGCCCGGGGAAATTGATTGAGATTTTTATGAATTACTCAGCAAGTCGAGGACTTAAGCCCTTTAAGTCGAGCAATTGAAATGTAATTAGGCAATGCTAATGGCGACACCTACCCCTCTCCTTTTTCCACCAGGAAGACCATCTCCCCAGAGAATCCCCACAGTCGAAATTACTTGGCTTCCGTTTTCGGGAGGGAAGCATATTTGCATAATTGATACCACCGCAGACATTTTTCAATTTCGAAATCTCGGCAAGCAATTAAAAAGATGTTTTCCCTGTAATTCCGTATGCTTACAACCCTCCGGATACACTCGGTACTACTGGGTACCAGCAAAATACGCAAGAAGGGCAATTTGAATGAGATTTATGAAATTACCTACGCAGCGTTTACAAAAAACCAGCGGAGGAGGAGTGGAGGTGGAGTGGAGGTTCATGTGGTCGCTTGGCTTGGCTTGGGGTGTCGGTGTCTGAAGATCCCCCTGAAGAAACCCCTGCCAAGCAAGCAGTTAAGTCGGACTCAACACATTGAGCGGCCGCTGCTGCAGATGCCGCATGTTGCACATGTGTTGAGTGCATGCAGCATGCAGCAGCGTGCAGCATTCACCATATATCCAAGCAGCATCCAGGGTACATGGTCATGCGCAAATCGCCGGTCGGCGTTTATTGAATTAAGACTGTCGACGACTGTTTGCAGTTGGCAGTTGTCGCACCCAGTGGAAGCGTTAAAAGTCACAAGGACACTGGGTTCCGAGATCTGGGATCGAATCGGATGCACACACATGGATCGTTTGCCATTGCAACTCAGTGCCAGCCTGCAACATTGTGGCGCCGATGAGAGGCGAGAGCCATAAAACGGGTAACGTGGTCGCGCTGCACTTGGGATCGGTTATGCGTGATTTTTACAGAATCCACTCAGTCGACGGGGGCGGGGAAATATCTGTGGCATCTGGCATTTGCATATTACTCGGGAAGTCACGTTAAAGTTGCGCCCATTTAACTGCAACTGCAATATGGACATTCCGAAAGCGATCGCCTCCCTCAAAATCCTTTGTCTGGGTTTTAACTATTACCCCTACTCCCGTTTCAAATTAAAGTTAACAGAAAAAAAACAATACAAATATATATTGTGTATATGACTCCAAATTCTCTATAACTAGAAGTATTTGTTTCAGAAATGGATTATAGTTGTAGAAGTTTGAATATGTTAAACGCGTTTATTAACAAATGTTTATACCAATTTGAAATTACTCGGATGAAATATATTTCCTTATTTTATTGGACTAATTTTTCCCTAGAAAAATCAAATTTTATTCCCTACTGAACTCTATCTAGTTCAAGTGGGGTTCCTATATCCTTACTTTGTTATCAGTTATCCTGCGTAACCTGGATAATAGAGCGTGTTTAACGTAAATAATATACCGCTTAACGAAACAATAGACCGGGTCTGGGTCACAGAACCTCACTTGGCTCGGAATCGCATTTACAAATTAAGCCCAACTTCTGCCATGTAACTACTTTACCTCTGTCTGAATAGGCAATCATCAATCGAGCAGAAACAATGAATGGTTGGCTGGCACACCCCCCAGGATCCCAGGACCCCCTGGTTTCTTTCTTTTCCGTTCTTACTAGCTCAAAATGTTTGTGCTTTGTGTATTTAATATACCCATTAATCGGAGACTTAAAAGGTGTATTGTACTTGTGAATAAGTTGGTAACAGAAAGTAGAAGGCACATTTTTATTCTTAATAATTTATATTAGCAGAGTTGGAACATACTTTGTTTCAAATATTTTCTAGTATGCAAAGTCTGTCCATATCTAACTACATACCAAATACTATAAAAAAGTGACCATTTTGAAGATAGTTAACATACATGTTATGATTAATTTTTTATAAAAGGCATTACAGCGCCTGTAAGTACGCAACAAATTTTGCAACAGGGTGTATCTCATAGAGTATCTCATAGAATTCCTATTTGTTTCTTTTTCCTGCTGCCAAACGCAGGTCAACAAAGTTTTTATTGAGCTGTGTTGGGGGGAAAAACTAATGGTGGGTGGGTGTTTATAGAGAGGATCCAGTGGCAAGGACAAATAAGTAAAATACACACAAAGGAGAAGGTCCTGCGAGGCAGAGAGATACTGATACAAGGAAAAAAGGAAACCAAAGCGATGTTTTAGCAGGGGGCTAGTTGAGGGGGTGGTGAAGTGGGGGATAATTAACATTTATGAGGGGGCGCTAGAGCAGGACAGCAGGCTCAGCGAGCGAAATAACTGTAACTGTTGCTGATTGATCAAGTGTGAGGGAGTGTGCATGTGTGTGAGTGTCTGGCTGGGGCACAAACAAAAACCATATGTTTCTCGTTTGACTCCCGCACGCACTCACTCACTCACTTACTCATTAACTCACACCCACTCACTCCCCCTCTCTCAGACTCTTGCTTTCGTTGTGAGTGAAAACTCATTGCTAGCGCCTGCGCACTCTCTCCTTTTCTCCCGCTCTCTCATTTCCTTCTGATGTGTGTGTGCGATATTCTGTTACACAAAAAGGCAAAAACAAAAGGCACCGTTAGAAGGTGGGCGAGTGTGAGTGAGTTCACCACGAAACGAAAATCCTCAGCGTTAATGCCTAGGTGTGTGTGTGAGTGTGGCTGAAAGAGAGCCTGCCTCTGCAACTGTGTGCGCGGGCGTATCTGTGTGTGCGTACTTGGCGTTACGACGTCAACAGCGGCGTATCCGTCAGTACGTTTGTACGCGTCCGCAGCGCCGCTTCTTCAGTTTTTCGGTTTTCGGAATTTCGGCTCAGGCACCACAGGCACTGGCACTGGCAGATATTCAAATCAGATCCGTTTGCGAGTTCGATATTTTCATTCCGAGCCGATCCGATTCCGCTTGCGATTCACAACAGATAGAGATCCCCAATCGAACGCCGCGAGAAATTATGCTGGCCCGCTGCTCTCGCTCTACGCGCAATAATTTATTTTTACTCCATATAAACAAATTCAACGTCTATTTCCAAAAATAAATGGGCAACAATAATAAAAATAACAACAGCCGTCGGACAATTATAAGTTTTTATTTTTAACTTTTATTCGCGCCCGCCGTTGTGAACATCGCTCGACCACCACCACCCCTTGTCCCTCCCACTCGCGCCCGCCTGCCCGGACTTTGTTTATATTTACAAAAGCCAAAGCACACGACAAACATAACAGCAAACATATCACTGACTTGCATTTCGCCCCGATGGTTATCGAAAAAGCGGCGTAAACAAAGCCCGAATTCAAACAACAATTAAATTTGCATCTCAATTGCAACGATTTTTCGTGTGTGTGCGGAAACATTTGTGCAAACACCTCTGGAGCGACCTGGCATCGCCGCAAAGTTCAAAACAAGTCGGTTTCTATTGAACAGCGTATTTTAGAGAACATTTTTCCGAGGAAACGGAAGCTCTGCTGTAAAGCGATTCATGTAAGTTTTTATCAACTGTAAAGGAATGTGAAATTAAAACGGGGAAAGTGTCAAGACTTCCTTAGTCTACAAATTAAATATGTGTGAAATGTCTCTCTCAAAGTTATAAGAACCTCTTATAAAGTTTAAGAAACAATTAATTAGAGAAGTGTTTACAGTTCTTTTAAAAGTTAACAACAAATTTTCCACTAATTTACGAGTTTGTTTCACTTTGTGATTAAAATTTTAATGACAAAGATGGTTAATTTGCATGTGTCATTACTTTATTATGAGTTTCTTTTGTTACTCAATCGTAATTGATATGTGAATTAACTTTGGAAATTTTAAAAGTTGAGAATTGTAAATTTTACATTTAAATTTAAAACACGCATATCATTTTTGTGGTAATGTTTTCGTTTACTCATGCACTTATCGATACTCTCCCAAAGGCTTAGTAATTATTTACAGATCATGGCTGGGCCGTAAACCGCTCCTTTGATAGGCCGATAGGGCAATTTGATTATCTATAATTTACAATTACAAACACACTGGCAGCCGGCATGTCGGTAACTAAATAACCAATGGCAAACTGACGTCATCGCTGGCCAAACGATTGTATTCCGCGGAAGAGAAGATATCGGCCGGGTTTTCGACTTCAGTTTCCACTCATTCCCTTTCAATTTCCCGCGATTTAATGCTGAAAGTAGCTGACATATACGGACAGGCGACACGCACATACAAATACTATATATTGCTGTCGACTGATAAGCGATTTTCGTATCAATATTGAGGGCCTGCGAGAACCGCACTCCTCCAGCGAAGTTCAAATCCATTTTCCCTGCTATCAAGTTCTTTTGCATGTAGTTTTTATGGCCGGACCAACTGGCAAACTGACTAACTGACTAAATGTCTTATTGACTGGCTGATTGGCGAATTTGCTGATAATTGTCTGCACTTTGTTTCAGCCAGCAGTAGCTGCAAATGCAAAAAGAAATTCTTATAAATTCTGTTATCTCGCTCGCACTTCAGCCAGCTGGACATGCGTGCAATGCACTTTGACACCTCCGCAGGATCTAAAAAAAGAAGAAAAGGGTGGTGGCTACGTGCCGGCGGGGGGCAGTGGGTTCAAACAACAAACAAAGCAATTCAAATGCGATAATCGCTTCAGATTTGCCTTGGACTTAGCCACGGCGATCGCCGATAAACGATAACGGGCATTTGGCAATGCATGCCGAGATAATGGCACCCCACCTCCGATCACGTTTACGATCACCACCCTCAGAGATCTTGAATTACTTTTGGGGTGGTCGCGTTTAAGCCACGTTTTGGGTTTATAGATCTATAATCTAACATATTGGGAATATTAAAAATATTATAAATCTACAACACCTTACATTAATACAAGGTCTCTTTTAGATTGCAACTATGTTTTCGGTCTCAGAAGTTGTATTTATTATATTAACTAAATTGTGTATAAAGAGATCCTAATGTGAAATTCCCAGTTCCCACAATTTCAATAAAGTTCTAAGAAAAATACATAATAGTTTTGGGAATTTATCATGATATATTTAAATGAGCTCTAGAGAATACCTTCCATGAAAGAAGAAAAAAAAAATCCCAGTCAAACAATGAATTCAATCCATAAAGGAAAACCCAACTAACATCTTATCAGGCCAAAATAATTTGTTGGCAAATTTTGAACGAAAAATAGTTGACTTGTGTGTTGTTGTTGCTGTTTGGGGCTTGATAAAAAAAAATTCGCAATCAAAATTTGTTTTATTTGCCCCGTGTTTTTTGTGGGGGCCACTATCTGCCATCGAGAGCGAGAGTCTTTCTTATCACACGTGCGCATGTGAGAGTGCCCGAGTTCACATAGGAAAGCACAAAGGTGCCGATGTATGGGTGTAGTTATTAAAACATAAATGTTCCTTTTGCCATTTGCCGTGTTTTCGGCTCTCGAGTGTCTGCGATCATTATGGTTATTGCCCACCGACGCTCTCCCTCACAATTATAATTATTATTATTATAATGATTTCTTTCTGTTTCTGTTTCGTTTTCGTTTTTTCTGTTTGTGTTTTTGTTTTGGCTTTGCTTTGGCTCTCTCTCCCACACTCCGCCCCGATTTTGCATGGGTGTGAGTGCCGGCGATAAGATAGAGGTACTAGGTACTAGGTACTCGGTAGTAGGTGTACTCATAGGTGACTCGGGGCCCGAGAACTCAAATTTGTTCGACTACCTTAACACGAGACGCGTGTTTGGGGCATAAAAGCAAAAAAAACAATAAGAAACGACCCAGAAACCTTGGATTTCAATGTACTTCCTCTCTTTCGCTGGCATTTTTGCAATTGAAATTGTTGATAAACAGGCTGCAGGAAAAATGCCAGACCTGATATCAAGGTGCCAATGCGAGTGCTTGCAGAAACATTGCAAATATAAGTGTGCAGATATTTCACTTACTTTATAGGCAAGAACATGTTATCGCCAGTCTAGTTTTCTTTTGCCATATAAAATTTGATAGAGTTCGGTTCGGAAATATGGATAAATAAAGGAATTATTCTTGGATTATATGATAAAACCTTATCAGGGATTAGAAAACCAAAGTTTACCAAAGCCTAAACAGATGTTTCATATAACTTAGACTGCTGTATAAAAAAACAATTTACTCACAAGATTGTTTATAAAAAGTTCAAAATATATTGTTTAGGATTATTATAATTATCTGATAAAATGTTACATAGTATAGTAGAACATAAAAGATTGCCAAGAAGTACTTCCTGTTTTATAAAATAACAATATATTAAAAAACTTTTTAGGAAATAAGAATCATTAGGGAATGTAAAGCCTTTGATGTGCAATTTTTTAAAGTGATGTGATGATGTGATGACAATCTCTTCAAGTAAAAAGAGTGGGAAGGAAAAGGCTGCTAATCAATCCCTAGCACTTTCCAAGTAAACTGGTTCAACTTCTAATTGCTCACATTATATTGGTGGCTTCAACCCCCAACTTCTTTGTTGGGTAATTTACAGTTCTAAACTCAATTTCCGACCGCCCTCGACAACTAAAAAAGTTCCGCATCAGTGGCAGTTTCAAATGACGCGTTTCTCAGGCGTTTTCATCGCGTCTTAAAGCGCGCGCGTGTCTTTAATTAAGTCAAGATTTATAACCATACTCTCGGGAATTTTGTTAACTGCGGCACATTAACAACGATAACAAAAGTCGGGGACATTGACAGATTTCTGGGGAAAAGTGAAAGTGAAAAGCCAACCAAGGAAGTTAAAACTTCCCCTCAAGGCTAAGATCTATTAAATTGTGAAAAATGAACTTAATACCTCTATCACATTCATAATTTTGGTAAACACATAAGCCGACAAAATTATATATTAAATTAAATGATGGTGATAAATTTTGAGTTTTTTAAACTTGAAATTTGGCCGGGCAGCTGCCATAAAAACGGAATTTATGAAAGGTCTCGCCTGCGTTCTCTGTCGCTCTAATTGAGGCTGTGAGCTGCGGACGGTGAGAGATTGCATTCAGATCGGCTCATCTCATTGCGAACACAACTGGTTTTCGCAATCGGTTCGGAGTTCATTCCTCCAAAATACGGAAAAGTTTAAAATTTGCATAAATTTGGCCGCAACAAATGCTAATTGAGCGCAATCAAGGCGAGCAACAAGTTTTCGCCTTTTTAATGTGCCTGCTCATCGGAGAAAAAGCCGCAAAACGTGATTCACTAAATCAAATCGATAATGTCCCCACCGCCTTTGTTGGGCCAAACAATTAGGGAAAACACAAAGTTGCTAAGCAGAGGGATTCTGATTTCGAGATGGAACGCCGAGCGAAACACCCACATTCTTGAGATTTGTTCTTGGCCATTTGCCTAATGATGTCGCCGCTGGCTGTCTTTTGGGCCAATTAAATGGAGAATCTGGCAAACGTGTGGCGGCAGTTAGCTGCGTTTTAATTGCCCGGCCACAAGACAAATGTCTTGACACACATCCTGCAATGGAGCAGACTCGGCACATCCTTCCGTTCGTCCTGCTCAAGTGCCGTGCCGCCTTTGCCGTTGACCCAGTGAAATGCAGCCAACTGCAACCGCAAATGGTTGATTGTTGCAATGAAAACCGTGTTAAGTTCTTTTTGGCCCCCAGGTTACACAGATCCAACCGCACATCCTTTGTTTTTTCAACCACATTCCGTTGCGGTGATTAGCCCTTTTCGCAATCCCCCTTTGCCACTTCCCCTCTCTTAACTTTTTTCCCCCCTGCAATTAGTCAAATATTTCTGCTGCCATTCTTGATTGTTTTCGCTAGGCCAACACCTGCACCACTTCAAGTGCCGCCTGACTAAACAAACACGAGCCCATTAATATAGTATGTATTTCATTGCGAATGACTTGACCATTTAATTTATAATGAGTTTTTGGCAACTTGAAATTCTTGCGAGATTAGATACTGTATTGTGGGCGAATGCTTCTCTCGGCCACTGAATGCAGATTTTCGATAGCTTAGAACTTTGATAGAGTAGAACTTTGGCAAACATAATAGAAGCAGTTAAATTGGTAGTTATTAGGGGGTAAAATTAAACTCTCAATACTTAATACTGTTTGAGAGTGTTACATTCCAAATAAAAAATAATGGATTGATGAACGTTTACATTTGATACAAAGAAAAGTTCATCCAAACGGTATCAAAATATAGATCACACAGCCCTAAAAACTTAATGCATACTAAATTATACTATTGCATTAGAAACGAGGACGGAAGCTAACTTCGGCAAGCCGAAGTTTTAATACCCTTGCAGACTTTGACGAAATTGCTAAAAGTGAAAAAGTAGCGAAAGGAATAAGGTATACATAAGTAAACTAGATTTGCATCGTTTCAAGTCAATTGCTTTTATACTGCAAAAATGTCATATACAAATGGAAAAAAAGGGATACTTTCGCCTTTAACAATTTTTTCTATCTCCTTTAAGGTATAGACTTCCGAGCGGCAAGCGCTTTTACCCTAATCAAGATATGCGTAAATAAATAAGAATTGGAAAATTTTATGTTAGTAGCTTACACACTGCGCGAAAAATTCTGATAATCATCAAATTTGGACCGATTTCACCCTATTGTTCCTATGGGAGCTATAGAATATAGACGTCCGATCGGCACGCGCTTTCACCTTGATCAATGTATGCATAAAAAAATAGGATTTGGAAAGATTCATGTCAATAGCTTGTATACTGCGTGAAATATCCTAAAAATCATTAAATTTTAACCGATTTTACCCTTTTGTTCCTATGGGAGCTATAGGATATAGACGTCCGATCGTCACGCGCTTTTACTCTGATCAAGGTACGCATAAAAAAATAAGATTTGGAAAGATTTATGTCAATAGCTTTTACACTGCGCGAAATATCTTCCATTCTTGCAAGTTATATCCGATTGTTCCTATGGGAGCTATAGGATATAGACATCCGATCGGGGCGGTTTTCAAACTTGATCTGCGTACACTTGTTTTAGGACGACTGTGAAAGTTTCAGATCGCTAGCTTTTAAACTGAGCTCGCAAACGGTATTGAAACAGACGGACAGACGGACAGACGGACGGACGGACAGACGGACAGACGGACAGACGGACATGGCTATATCGACTCCCCTATTGATCCTGATCAAGAATATATATACTTTATAGGGTCGGAAACGTCTCCTTCACTGCGTTACAAACTTCTGACCAAAATTATAATACCCTCTGCAAGGGTATAAAAACACTAAGTGCAATATAGTTTTATTTCAGAATACTTTATAACTTTAACTGCCTTAAAAAAACCTAGATATATTTTTAGTCAGATTGAAGATACCAAACCATACTTAAAGATTATATTTCGGATTAAAAAAGAAACGTTGATTGCCTTTTAAAAACGAATGTTCAATTCTTTTTTTTACCTAAATTGAAGAGTAAAGCTTTATTTCGGTTTAATGACCTTACCCTTTTTTGCCTTAAATAAATGTCTTTAAAGTAACATTTCAGTAAAGACCTTTGCCATCCATTTTTAATGTTTAATTAACCTTTTATAGAATTTTTTTTGACCCTAAAAAGACCCTCCATTTGAGAGCTTTTTAGTTGTATCCAAAGCAGCATGAGAGTAATTCAATAGCAGACGCTGATAAGTATGCTACAAAACAGGACAAACTCGTAATTCGAGCACTTGATGTCCTGCTGCTGTCTGCCACATGGCCTTGTTGGCTTGCCACCCCTCCCCATTTGCCACCCCTTTCCCTCCACTTTCGATTGTTGCAATGACGCTGACAGTCACAGATATACACACTCAGTGGCATGTGGCCACTAATTGACTCACTTGCGGTGTGATAACGTGCCCGCTTTTGTTCGCGCCTTCAATTATTCATCTCCTTGCACTGACGCACTTGTTGTAAGCGATGTATTTTATGCACCTTATCGGCACACACTAAGCATCCTGCAGTGGAACACAGAAAGCCACTCAAGAAGTGACTAAAACATGAGTTACTGCAAAGGGCTCAATCGCCAATTTCGGTCTATTTCCGAGATAATCCCCTGAGCGGCAATCCAAAAACTGTGAGTGGCACATCCTAAGCGGATTAGGTGTCCTTTAATTATGGCCCAAGTGCTTAGCCCAAACACAAACACGAGCAAACAAAGGCCACAATTTGCCTTCCTGCTGGATAGAATTTTCCAAAATCTAATATTGATTACTAAACGGATAATTATTGATTTGGGGGGAACATGGTGGGAACCACTGCGTATACTTGATACCCTATCTTGATTCCTTCTCTTCTCTTTTTTTTATTTTTATTTTTTTGTTACGCCCATTTGGAGCAACACTTGTCCGTGGTCATGCCATTAAATCCCTGGAGGAGAGTCATCGAGCAGCTTTATTCACTCCACAATGTCTTGTGACTCGGTTGCTACCGAATCAAATGGTAGCGTCATCAATATCATTATCGATTCATTCCTTATGCCTCGGTTCCTGATTCCTACATTTCGTTTCTTTTCCATATCAATAATGAATGTTCAAGTCACCGAATACAAAACTCACGCATAATCATGGCGGGTTGCCCGAATAAAAAGGAAGGCGCATGGAGGAAAAGCGGGAGAAATGTAACGAATTTGTTGAGTGTGTCCTTGCTGTTGTGCGAGTATGTGTGTGTGAGTGTGTGTGTCGCAGTGTGTGTGTGCTGGCTGTCACACATTTTCGTCAAGGCTAAGACCCCACCAGCCTGTCACAACCCATTTTACCCCATGTTCCCCCCACTATAACACCACCCTTCGCCCGCTGGCTCAGCTGAAAGCTGAAGCATATTGCGTAGGTCGCTGCGTGAGTCGTGGAAAAATGGGAGAGGGGAAAGTGAATTGGAAGGGGGAGGGGGAGAGGCAGAGGGGGATGGTGGGAAAAAGGAAAAGCGTTGCCAAGGCACTTGTTGTTGTTAATGTTGTTTTTGTCCCGCATCCTGGCCGGAGGACAAACAACAGGCAAAGACGAAAAGGAAGACCAAGACTGAGGCAACTGAAATTTATCCGACTCGATTTCCTTTTGCCAAAACACGGGCAAAAAAATGGTATCCCAAAAACCTACAAATTATTAAACATACATTTTTTACACAAAAAAGGTGAATTAAAAAGTACTTTGCTTTACACTCAATCCACCTTAATTTCAATTACATTTCTTCTGACTACAATAAAAACTATTTAGGGTCATTGAGACCTTAAAGTTTGTTAAAGGAGAACTAAATTAAGGGTAAAATACCTAATTGTATTTGTTTTTTTTTTCTTGAAAAAAGTATTCAATTTTAGGACGTTTTAATAATGATTTAAACATATACATTACACGACTTTTTATAGGACTAAAACTTGTATCCTAATTTAATAGTATAGAATAAATGCCTTTAATAATATAGAATTTGGTGAGAAAAATAATGCAAAACGGATATTTTAAGATGATAAGTGGTTATCTTTTCTTAAAAAAACTGCTTTGTAAACTCTATTCGATATAAAGAACCTATTTTATCTCAGTGATGGAATTGGCTGGCTCAAAGGAGCCGTGAGGGGACCTGAGCATATTTTTTTGCTGGCTCGCGTTTGCCAGCCACGTGCCGCTGCCACAGAGGGAAAATGGTGAAAATTGAGGAAAACTGGGGAAAAGCGACACAGACCCAGCTTCCGCCGGAGCACTTGAGTGTTGCCGTTGCCCCGGGCAAACGGAAAAAACGGTTTTGGAGTGCCGCTTCCGTTTCCGCTTTAAAACAGTTTGCGAGTGAACTTGTTGGCACATCCTTATTGATTTAGTGCGTGTGTGGTGTGTGGGCAATGGCAGGACATCAAAGCGAATGGCAATAGGATCCAGGGGAAAGGATCTCCGGCGGAGGGACAGCGCGAATCTAATCATGCGTAGGGTCAGTCGAAGGCAGCGGCATTAATTAACCGAAGCCAGCCGATGAAATAGGTCATCCTAGGGCGATAAATGTTACATGTGCGATACAACTTGCTCTTCATTAGCGGTGCATTGAACTTTCAACGCCAGTGGAGCGATGACAATGGAGCAAGTTGACCGCAAATCCTGCCCCGTCCAGCTGAAAAACCCTTTTGAAGTCGCCAGCTAAGTGGGTTAAATGGTCAGCCATGGGTTAATTACTCCCCCACTCCCCTACTCCCAATCCCACCCATTTAGCCAGTCAATCACTCATTGTTTGTATCCTCTTTATATCTCGTTGCAGTTACCTGAGGACAATTTATACGGAAACACAATTATATAAAATTATATACACACCTATATATATACAAGAAGAATTTGCCGTTTTGACAAGCCGTCCACTTATACAACAAAAAGAAGGGATAATATATAGATAATATATATAAATATGCCCCACGTCTGCCACATCAGGATAAGCCACAGCAATCCGCAGGGCAGCCACTAACAGAGTTTTCCGGGAAAGTTTTGCCGGAAAATCCAGCAAATCAGCGACCAAGCCAGCAGGAATCAGCCAGTTGAGCGCAAGGACATCGTCATCTCAGTTACAATCGGAGGAGGATAGGAAAACTGTTGCCATGGGTCGCAAAAAAATTCAAATATCACGCATCACCGACGAACGCAATCGGCAGGTGAGTGTCAATATGTTTGCAAATCCGTGGCAATAACAATAATAATTCAGTGGTGGGCAACAATTGTTTGCTCGAAATGGAAGCTTCCATTTTGCCATGGCAATGTAACTTAATTAAGACTGTGATAAAGCACGAGAGGTGAATCGATTTACGGCCATTAAATTGAAATCGAACCCATGTCGAGATAGCAATTCCTCATTAAATTGTGCTACTTGGTGTTCAGTGAATTAGTTCGTTGGATTAGACAAGCTAATTTGATGTCTGATTAACTGACATGATTGTCAAGTTGTGCTTGGTAAATTCTAGAAAAAAGCTGGATAATGTGTGATTATCAAGCTACTTTAAATGAATACATTTCTGCGATAGCCAAACTTGGGCTTTTTAAACAGATTCCGATAATAAATTAACATTGGGTAACAATAATTTCCAAAAATAAAGTAATTTTATCAAAGTATTCCCAATTGATTTTCTTATTCACCGACATTTTTCGCAAAGTAATAATTCAAAAATCTTTAAAAAAGCATACAGTAATAAATTGACTCTTATTTATGGGCTTTGTACTTCCCAAACCATTCCAAAATAGAGTAATTTAATCAAAGTATTCCCAATTGATTTCCTTATTCACCGACATTCGTAGCAAAGTAATAAGTCAAAATTCTTAAAAAAATCATAGAGAGAAATAAATTCACTCTTGCTTTTGGACTTTGACTTCCCAAACCATCCCAAAAAAAAGTATACTTTTCAAACAGTTTTCACTCGGAACTAATTTTCATTTTCCATTCCCATTTTTTAACTGGCGAGCGTGTGTCGTGTCATCGCAAGGTTTTCCCCACCGACTTACTGCTCTGTTTTGGGGCGATGTCTTGGCCAAGCCATAAACGCGTCATCGCCCGGCAGTGAAAACAACGAGGAACAGTAACAACTTGTTTATTGTTCTGCCCCTTTGGCCTTGACTCGGCCATAATCGATTCATTACCAACTAGCCAGCTAGCTGGGGAAAAGGGGCCACCTAACAACCACCTTCCTATTTTAACAGTTTACCACTTGGCCAGGCCACTTGGGCTAAGGCCACTGCCTCTAATTACATTTTCGAACCGCATAAATATTTGAGCATGGGCCGTAATTGAACGCACTTCCGTTTCCGGTTCTCCCCTCGCCCACAGGTGACCTTCAACAAGCGCAAGTTCGGCGTGATGAAGAAGGCCTACGAGCTGTCCGTGCTCTGCGACTGCGAGATCGCCCTCATCATCTTCTCGTCGAGCAACAAGCTGTACCAGTACGCCAGCACCGACATGGATCGCGTCCTGCTCAAGTACACCGAGTACAACGAGCCCCACGAGTCCCTCACCAACAAGAACATCATCGAGGTAAGTTCACCAAGAGTAAGAAAATGGGGTGGAAAATGGGGCGGAAAGTGGGGTGGAAAAGCGGGGTGAAAAAGAGGGGAAAGCGTCTCGAACGAGAGCGCCATTATGCAAATTCAAGTGAGCCGTGAAAAGCACAGCAGTGAATGCAAAAACAAAAGGGTGGAAAGCAAAGGCAACTATCTTTTAGATACGAGATACTAGACCAAAGCTGGGAATACCCTGTGGCTCTTTAAAATATCTCTACTTAAAAATAGTCCTCTCCATTTTACTAATTTAATTCATTCATTTAAATATTTAAACAGAAAATATTAAAAAAATTTAAAATTTAAAAATAATTTTAGAAAAAGCAGTTGCTTTTAAAAACGCTTATAAGCTAAATGGGGTATAAGTTATAACTTTATAGTCATGCACCTGGAACCTTAAAATTTAATTTATATCTGTGCAACAATTTAATTGAAATGAAGCCCTTTTTACAGAGTCACATATACGTAAGACATGGCAAAAGCTTAGTAAGTTTTATTTACCTTTGTTTCTATAATTTTTTATCTATTTGATTTTTAAGTGACCAATTTTCCTATTTTAAAGCAGAGTTCATTATTTGTTCAAAGATATTAATCATGAATGATTAAATTTATCAGCTTTAAATACTATATATTTTTTCTGTGTATGCCAAAGCTCAGATCTCTGTAAACTCCTTAATAAAATCATACTACCGGAACGTCTGCATTAAATAAACTTAAACTTGTACAGCCTTTGGCAAGGATTAAAGCAATAGCAATAACAGCGACTGCAGAATTAAGCTGAGGAAATGGGGGAAAAAGACACGCGGAGGGAGGGAAAATGTCGCCAAGTATTTTGCATTTCTAATGCCGCGTCGTCGTCTCTGTTTCGCCGTTGTTGCTGTCCGCGTGCAAATGGTTTTGTAATGTTAATGCTGCAGAGGAAACAGAGCGGCGGCGTGGGACAATATTTGCATTTACATAATTTAGCACAACAAAGCGTCAAGTGGGCCGAAAGAAAGGCCTGGGGCCAATTATCACGTCACTCGGCGGATATCTCTTACACATTTCCCCTCATTTTGCATTTTTACATTTCGCCTCACAGAAGGAGAACAAGAACGGCGTGATGTCGCCGGACTCGCCCGAAGCCGAAACGGACTACACACTCACACCGCGCACGGAGGCCAAGTACAACAAGATCGACGAGGAGTTCCAGAACATGATGCAGCGCAACCAGATGGCCATCGGCGGAGCGGGTGCACAACGCCAGCTGGCCAACAGCAGCTACACGCTGCCCGTTTCCGTTCCGGTGCCGGGATCCTATGGCGACAACCTGCTGCAGGCCAGCCCCCAGATGTCACACACCAACATCAGCCCACGTCCATCGAGTTCGGAGACGGATTCAGGTGGGATGTCCCTGATAAGTTAGTACAGTGTCTCGCGCCGGCTGCACACACATTTCTATCTATCTATCGTTGGTTCTGTTCCTCGTTTTCGTTTTGATCTCGATCTGCATGGTTGCCTGGAGTGCTAAACTCTTTAAACTCTAACCCTCTAACCCGTGGTTCTGTTGCTGTTTCTGATTTCCCTAACCCCACTCACCGCCATCTAACCAAAATGCGTGCGAAGTTCTGTGTAGCATATATATATATAGTGTATATAGAGCGATAGCGATCCGGTCTAAACGTGTGTTTGCATATTCTTATCTTCTCTTTCGGCTCATCAGTCTATCCATCGGGTTCCATGCTGGAGATGTCGAACGGCTATCCGCATTCACACTCGCCGCTTGTGGGATCACCGAGTCCGGGTCCCAGTCCTGGCATAGGTGGGCATAAACATACTCCTCCCTCACCTAACACTCTCCACCGAAACTAACATCACTCCATCATTGGCTAAAAACTCTGGGTGTGGTGTGGCTCCTGACTAACCGAGATCTCCTTGCAGCCCATCACTTGTCCATCAAGCAGCAGTCACCGGGCAGCCAGAACGGACGAGCTTCCAATCTGCGGGTCGTAATACCGCCCACCATCGCCCCCATACCGCCCAACATGTCTGCGCCGGACGACGTGCCCTATTCGGATGTGAGTATTTAATAGTGATTCCCTTAGTTGGATTTGACTTAATCATGGTTTTATCTTGTTGTTTAGCAACGACAGAGTCAGACGTCGCTGAACACGCCAGTGGTCACGCTGCAGACGCCGATTCCCGCCCTCACGAGCTACTCCTTCGGGGCGCAGGACTTCTCCTCCTCCGGCGTGATGGGCAGCGCGGATATCATGAGCCTCAACACCTGGCATCAGGGCCTGGTGCCGCACTCTAGGTGAGCAATCATCTACAACCAGTTTGGAATTTAAGAACTAATCATAATATTCCCCCCTTTGTTCTTATAGTCTCTCGCACCTGGCTGTCTCGAATAGCACGCCGCCGCCCGCCACCTCACCCGTCTCCATCAAAGTCAAGGCCGAGCCGCAGTCGCCGCCACGCGATCTGTCCGCCAGTGGCCATCAGCAGAATAGCAATGGGTCGACGGGAAGCGGCGGATCGAGCAGCAGCACCAGTAGCAATGCCAGTGGAGGAGGAGGAGGAGGTGGCGGCTCGGGAGCCGTGAGTGCAGCCAATGTAATTACGCACTTGAACAACGTCAGTGTGCTGGCAGGTGGTCCTTCGGGCCCAGGAGGCGGAGGAGGAGGAAATGGCGGCAGCAATGGGAGCATAGAGCAGGCCACCAATCTGAGTGTGCTGAGCCATGCGCAGCAGCACCACCTGGTCATGCCCAACTCGCGGCCCTCGTCCACGGGCCACATCACACCCACACCAGGTAGGCATTCATTTTTCTGCACTTTCTCGCTTTCCTTTCCTTTGTACTTTGACTTCTCCCTCGTGTTCGAAGGATTTCCGCTTGCAAAAAAATGCCGCCGTTTGTCTACTAATTTGACTAGAGTTGCAAATTTACGAACAAAAAAAACTTAAATTTTTATAGCGGCATGATTCTAGTGTTCAAAGCTATCTCTTTAACTCTCCCTTTCTGTTAATGTTTAAATTTCTAGTGCCCAACGGGCGTATACTTAATGCTCGATTACGTATACGCCGCGTTGCCCGTGATGGCATTTCGATTTTCGTTTAACTCTATACCAACTACTTGCAACCTGCCGTTCTAATATTGTTACTATTTAATACGATTGTCTTTTTTTGCATTAACCCACAACGACAACGACAACAACAACATTGTGTGATAATTTTTAGGGCATGATAAGTATGAAGGATATCCGTACCGCGCGCTAATGGGACATAATGCTAGATGGAATTTTGCCGGTAAATTGGCCACAAACGAAAATACATCAAATACATTCAGATACACACACACATACAAATACATATACACATAAACAAGCATACAAAAACACCTATAAATACGCATACATACATACATACAAACAAAACTGTAGCAAAATTCTTGTAAATCCAATGAAATTCCTTGTTTTTTAGGGTAAGGGTCAGTTGAAAACATCTTGAGTTTGATTCCGTTTGAGTTTCGGGGGCCTTAATAAGATTGTGAAATTCCAAAGAAAATTTTTGTTTGAATGGCTTTTGATTTTGTTTTGATTTTCTCTACTAACCCCACACAACCAAGCGATTTCCTGCTAACCCAAAACACTACCTGCAGTTCTAGAAGCTCACTTATGACTCGAAATTTAAGGATTTCTAAAAATGCCTTTATCTTTTGATGAAAATCAGTTTGAATGACTCTGTTAATGGAAATTAACTGTCTAATTCATGGGTTATAAGTGACTTTTAAAACTTCGGACCTCATAATCACAAGACACAATCTCACAATGGTCAGATGCTGAATGTCCGAGTGTCTGGCCACGCCCCCAGCCCGCCCTGAATGCCCAGCCCGCCTGCCTTTGTCATACACATGCGACCATGGAGCAAATCAAACTAATAGCTTAACAGACTTCATTATCCTTAATGCAGGTGCGCCGAGCAGCGATCAGGATGTCCGTCTGGCCGCCGTTGTTGCGCAGCAGCAGCAGCAACATCAGCAGCAGCAGCAACACCAGCAGCAGCAACTGGGCGACTACGATGCCCCCAACCACAAACGGCCGAGAATATCGGGCGGATGGGGCACATAGCCGGCACGAGCTGCCGGTAGCAGCCACTACAAGCCACATCACAACAACCACACCGGCTGCAGCGGCATCAGCAGCAGCAGCAACACCAGCTGCAACACAAGCGACACCATCAGCAGCAGCAACAACAAGAAGCCGGCGGAGTGCGATGACCTGGCGATGATGCCACCACCGCCGCGCAAGGACATGGCCCGCAGCTCCTACAGCCTGCTGCAGTCCGGCTACGACTGCTACGGCCAGCAGCTGGCGGTGGCCTACGGATCCCAGCAGCACCCGTAGCGGTAGCCGTTGCCCTAGCCACCACGTCCTCCGTTTCCGGACCAGTGCAATAGTTGAGAGGGGAAACTGGAGGCAGTTTTGTTTTGTTTTCGGTTTAAGCGAACAGTGACAGTGTCATATCTTATAGTTATTGTAACTTAAATGAATTACGATTACACACCTACGGTAATAGTTATAATTTTAAATTATAAACGCAGAGCTGGCGGGTCTGAACTGACCCCGCATCCTGCCCAGAATTATGAGCAGGTTAGAGTGTTGAGCTGATTTAGTTTAGTTACAATTACAAAATACAGTTACGAGTATGGTTAAAGTTAATGTTAAATCTAATCTTAGGACAAAATGCTGCAGACAAAAAAAAAAAGAAAAGAAAGAAAAACAAAACAGAACAGAAGAAGAACGAGCTCTTTATGCTGTAAATATTTGATTTTAGTGTCATAAGTTTTAAACTTAGTTCGTAGTGGACTACGAGATACGTAAACCATGCAAGTCATACGATGAAACGATTCAGAAATTCTATGCAAAACACAGACCCTCATGCAGATGTACTCAGTGTTCGATCATAATTTGTAATTTTGTGCAATTTAACGTCAATTTTTCAGTTCTGTTCTATGCACACACACTTTTGGCGGTTCATCAATCGAACCAGATTTGTTTTCTAGCTAGGTTTGCTTGATTTCAGCATGAATCACAGCCTTTGCAAGTACATATACACACTTTATGATTATGATTTAGTTCTGATTTAAGCGATTATTTAATAGACACTTTTCTCTTCATCTCTTAAGCGAAACGAAGTCATAATTTGTAATTTAAATTTAAAGTGGATTTCTATTCAATTTGAAGTGTTTCAAATTCTTGTGCCTAAGTTTTGTATTTTTTACATTTAAATGCAGTTTGTAAAACAACAACAATCGCAACAGCAACAACAACTCAACAAAATATAATTTAAATAAAATTATTCAGAAATTTTTCGTTTTTATTTTGCATTACCAGTATTATTTGATTAATCCATTACTTTATTTATTTTCTGTACAATTTACCCGGCCATATTTAAACAGGCCCAGTGGGCGTGTCTGCGCCTGTGTCAATTTCAATTGCCCATTTCGAACTTGCCAATATTTGACTAAGGGGTAAACGCGCCCGCAAATATTTGCACTGTCCATATGACCTGTTGCACTTTATACAGCAGCGGCGAAGAGGCGCAAACAAAAAGAGTAAAATATTTATGTATATTTGTATTTGGGACGAGCCTGCATCAGCTGTGCATATTTAAATACAGAAAGCAAAAATGCAGGTGCAGTTGGCGGAGAGCATAAACAATAAGCAAACTTACACTCTACAGGTTTCCCCATTGAACAAGCTTTACAACACCTACATATTTACATATTTAAGCAGATTGAAGAGGAACGGGAGTGCGAAATTATACGTCTACCAGCACGTGAACGATATTTTCTAGCCATATACGATATATACACTAAGCAAACTAGCCAAGGTTCCCCAAAACCGAAGCGCACTTTTAGGAAGAGAGACCTTGGACCCAGTGTACAATACACGTAGTTAGTCCACAGAGCAGTCCATCTCGGAGTAGATCCTTTCCAGAAACTCCAAGAGCTGCTCGGGATGGACTGCTCCTTGTTGGTTATATTATAATATATTATGTTCATACATACATGTTATTGGTGGATATTTGTGGGTATATTTGTTGCACCACTCAATGTTGTAACCTGAACCCTATGTTGACCCTAAATGATTTTCATATAATTTGCAAGGACTTTTCGAATTTTCCAAGAGTTATCATTTTTGTTTGGACCTTATTCTGTTGATGTATATAGATCCTGGTATATAACTTCACTGTGTAGTGTTGCCTTAAAAACAGTGCCTCTTTTTGATGAACAAAACAAATACATGAAGATATAACTAAATGTTGTACTAATGTTGATTGCAAATGATAATGATAACGAACAACTTGATGGTGAAAAATTTCAATACAGGTGTTAATTGTGCTATTTAAATAAGCGTAGATAAATCTGGTAACTGATATTAACCTAACCGAAACCCTAGTGAAATCCCGAGAGAGATAACCTCCACTAAGCAGCACGTAATGTACAAAGGGGCGTTTCAATTGGCATTGCATAAGGAAGGCTTACCCAGAAACCCATATAGTCTAGTTACAAAACAAAATAAAGGAAGGAAGGAAAGTGGATATATTGATAGAAGTAATTTATATTTGATCGACGCACTGTACAGTTGACTGTCTCGAAGACGTCCTACGGTCACAGGGACCACTCACAGCACGGAAATAATCGACAGGTCGGATTCTGCAGACGGATCGTCCAGAGTGTAAATTCGTATTCGCTGTACCTTTAGGATAATACCTAGATAAAATGTTAAACCTACGCACTGTTGTAATGGGATTTATGTGGCACGCCACAAGCATCATATAATAATTATTCAAAGACTTGTGCTTGAACTCACTTAGAGAATATTGTGGGCTCCCGTGCGGATCTGCACAAAGATTAGGGAGCATTTCAGAGCGAGGGTCACCTACTTAAGTGTATCCATCGATGTGTCTGTTCAAATAACCATATACAACTAAATTGTAACTCTAAGCTAAGGATATGCAACCGTTTTGGTGAAAAACAAGTTAGTACATTATACATGCATATATATGTGAAACTATATAATGAGAAACAAGTTTTATCCGTGCACTGAATATGAAAGGTTTTGGAAATTGACAAATTGATTGTGGATTCAATATTTACCTATTAAGTTGGTGTTTTAAACAGAAAAAGCGAGAACAAAACCGAACAAACGATAGTAGAACATTTTAAATAAAACCTTTTTGGCAACTGAATAATCTTTGACTTTCTTTACAATTTTATTGCAACTTTAAGCTTAATTCCGTATCATAAGTTCAAATTCTCAATGTTAAAAACTAATGAAATGCAATTTCGGTACACGAATTGGCTGGGATGATTGTCCTTTCACATGCCGTTGTAGGCGGGGCCGCCGCCTCCCTCGGGCACCACCCAATTGATGTTCTGCTTGGGGTCCTTGATATCACAGGTCTTGCAGTGGATGCAGTTCTGGGCGTTGATCTGCAGCTTCATGTTGCCGCCCTCCTCGTTGGGCACATACTCGTAGACGCCGGCGGGGCAGAATCGCTGCTCGGGTCCCTCGTAGAGCGCCAGGTTGTGGTCCACGGGGATGCGGTCGTCCTTGAGCGTCAGATGGGCGGGCTGGTCGCCCTCGTGGTTCGTGCCCGTCAGTGCCACCGACGACAGAAGGTCGAAGGAGATCTTGCCATCGGGTTTGGGGTAAACAATGGGCTGGCTGGAGCTGGCGGGCTGCAGGGACTCATGGTCCTGGGGACCGTGCTTCAAGGTCCAGGGCTCGCGTCCTCCCATGAAGATGGAGAAGCCACTCAGGACTAGACCGCCGTACAGGCCTAGGGGATTGTGGAATGAAGGGTGGACATTGCGTACGCTATAAAGGTCCTTCCAAACAAAGGAGTTCTTGATTCTGAAAGGGAAAAGATTAATTACTTAGAATTCAGAGTCTTTTTACAGTGCTCTCGTCTTACTTTTCAGCATAGCTGGTGGGTTCCACGCCAGCCGTCGATTGTGTATCCGCATTGATGGCCTCCAGGGCACTCTCCGCAGCCAGCATGCCACTTTTCATCGCGTAATGGGAGCCCTTGATGCGAGGGACATTCAGGAAGCCAGCACTGCAGCCAACCAGACAACCGCCAGGGAAAGATAGCTTCTGGGGCAGACTCTGGAAGCCGCCCTCGTTGATGGCACGTGCTCCGTAGGCGATTCGGGTGGCGCCCTCGAAGACGTCGCGCACCTTGGGGTGCGTCTTGAAGCGCTGGAACTCCTGGAAGGGACTGAGCCAGGGGTTCTTGTAGTTGAGGCCGACCACGAAGCCCACAGCAATGGTGGGTGTGGGCTCATTCAGATGGTACAGGAATGAGCCGCCATATGTGAAGCGGTCCAGCGGCCAGCCAATGGTGTGCTCCACCAAACCGGGTCTGTAAAGCAGGATAATTGAGGTAGGAAAAAGTATTTTTTTTCTTAGCTAGTAGCTACTTACTGATGCTTCTCGGGGGCGATCTCCCAGACCTCTTTCAGACCGATTCCATAGGCCTGTGGCTCGCTGCCCTCGTTCAGGCCGAATTTCTGCATGATCTGCTTCGTCAGGTGACCGCGGCAGCCCTCAGCGAAGATGGTGGTCTTGGCGTGCAGCTCCATGCCACGTGCAAAGGTGTCCTTGGGAGCTCCACTCTTGGCAATGCCCACGTCGTTGGTGGCGATACCCTTTACACTGCCATCCTCGTGGAAGAGCACCTCCGAGGCAGCACAGCCGGGGTAGATCTCCACGCCCAAGGCCTCTGCCTGATCCCCAAGCCACTTGACCAGGTGGCCCAAGCGGACCACATAGTTGCCGTGGTTGTCCATGGGCCAGCCCTTGAAGACGGGTATGGAGATGCGACCGGAGCCGGTGAGGAAGGAGAAGGTATCCTTGGTCACGGGGGTGTTCAGAGGAGCACCCTGCTCCTTCCAGTCGGGAATGAGCTCGTTCAGCGAAATGGGATCGATGACGGCGCCGGAGAGGATGTGTCCACCTACTTCGGCAGATTTCTCCACCACGCAGACTCGGATTTCCTACCATTAGAAGAATATTTAGTGTGGTTGTGATAGAAATATAGAGGCTAACCAACCTGATCCTTCTCTGCTGCCAATTGCTTGGCCCGAATGGCCGCCGACATGCCAGCGGGTCCTCCACCCACGATCACCAGATCCACCTCCTCGATGCAACGCTCCATGTCCACCTCTGTCCACCGTTCATCCTTCTCGCGGGGATTCAGTGTATAGTGGGTGGTGATCCTTGGGTATTTGGCCACCTCCGAGATGCTGCGCACCAGGGTGGGTCTGAAAAGCCTCTGAACTAGAAAGGAAATAGATCACTTATTAGTCTCTTGGCATCTTTGCGGTTATGTAATACCCGAAATTTATGTTCTGGGAACACTTACCTCTGTGCATTTTCAAAAGTGCCGACATTTTCTCTTCTGTTCTCAGCTAATAACGGTTTAACAGTGGGAAGAGTTCTGGAAATGCACCAAACTGTTCCTAGATATGCGTATATATGTTGTTGTGTTTACTCTCTATTCCAAAACACAACACAAACAACAAGATCGGTGCAACAAGTTGGACTTTAGACCCGTCCAGCTGATGACGTAGCGCCGTCCAAAGTTCGTTGGCGATGTTTACCGTATGTTATGAGTTTCTAACACTCGAGATTGCCAACTTGGAAGTGGAAAATAACACTGATAAAACTGCAATATTAAAGCGGTTTGGATCCGACTCCTAAGAAGCGGTTTCTTATGCTCACAGCTGGGGCGATAAGAACAACTGACACTAATAAATACCGCTTACATCGTGGACGCAAACCATCTTGGAAAACGTTCATGGAATGCTAGCGCTTTTCCAAACCTAACCAATTGGCAGAGTTGCCAAACATACAAAAGCCGTTACAATTTCATTATTTAAAAAAAAACTGTTGGTACTTCTTAGTTAAATATACAATGTACTTGTTGTTCTATCAAACTTAATTTCCATTTGTGATTGCAGATTGTTTTTTTAAATATGCAATGACTAAGTTATTGATTTTAGTCCAGAGTTCGAGGTTGTGTTTGTACATCAAAATACTTGCGGTTTTATTATCTAAAAATCCAAAAATATTCCTACCCCTCCAAATGAAATTTTCACAAAGAAAATAAATACATTGAAATACAGTAGAGCAATCTTTATTTGGAATTTTGGCAAAAGACTTCTTCACACCTTTTCAATGCATTCAAAATAACACTAGGTATATTTATAGGTAAGAACTTCAAAGCGTGGTGAATTTTTAATCCAGCCCCCATTAAAAATTCATAGTTTAGGCATTTGTCGGGAGTTCGTGTGGGGAGGGGAGTATACGTATATCAATTACGATTCGTGTGTACGTTTGTCAATATCTATTTACAAGGAATCGCCCCGCAGGACCCGTTTACTGGCCGAACAACTGCTCCTGCTCCTGCTCCAGGCTGCCCTCGTCCGTGGAAGTCGTCTGCTCGCCGCTCTTCACCTGCTGATCCTGCCGCTCCTGCCGATCCTGCTGATCCTGCAGCTCCTGTTTCTTGAACAGCTCCGTCATGGCCTTGTCCACGGGACTCCTTTCACCCGGCTTGCCCGACTTGGTTTGCTTGGATTCGGGCACCGCAGGCTTCACGCTCTTCCCAAAGCGAATGAAGTTCGAGTCCATCTTTCCGGAACGCACAAAATCCTGCGGAGCGGAGCGTCCAAAGCGCATAAAGTTGTCGGGACGACCGAATCGCATGAAATCCTGCTTGGGACTGCGGAGCTCCTCGTGAGGACTGCGCCCGAAACGCATAAAGTTGTCCGAACGTCCGAACCTCATGAAATCCTCCGCTGGAGAGCGACCAAACCTCATGAAATCCTCAGCTGGCGAGCGACCGAATCTCATAAAGTCCTGCTTGGGATCCCGACCGAATCTCATGAAATCCTGCTTGGGATCCCGGCCAAACCTCATGAAATCCTGCTTTGGATCCCTGCCAAACCTCATGAAATCCTGCTTAGGATCTCGGCCAAACCTCATGAAATCCTGGCCTGGATCCCTGCCAAATCGCATAAAGTCCTGGCCCGGATCCCTGCCAAACCTCATAAAGTCCTGCTTGGGTTCCCTGCCATATCGATCCATGGTGGACCGCTTGGCCATGCCCTCGAGCAGCTCACCCGAGCCACCGTAACTGCCCTCCGGAGGCAGTTGCTCCGCCTGCCGCTTGCCGAAGTGCATGAAGTTGTCCTGCACGGACCTCCGCTTGGCCTCCAGTTCCGGATCGAACTTGTAGCGCGGCCGGCGACTGTGTTTCTGGAAGCGCAGCAGCACGGCGTTCTTGGAGTAGTCGATGCCAATCACAGAGATGGGGTGACGGAACTCCAGCTCCGCCCTCGCGCCCTGATCGTTGCTGAGGAGTGCGTCCACCAGGTCATTGTCCTGCGGAGGACTCACCTCGGAGTCCGCCTCCTGCAGCGAATTGCCACCGTAGTTGGGCGTCTCGATGATCTCGCTGTGGATGGCCGACTGCATCTGGTACAGGGCCAGCAGGAACATCAAGGCAATGCCCATCTGCAAGGATACGAATGAAAGAGTGAAGGCCATAATTACGGGGCGATGGCATCTCGCGTTATCTATTGCAACTTTTAATCACATTAAGGCTGTTCGTTTTACTTAGGGTAACAGTAGCGCAGACAAAGTGTCCTGCTAATTAACCATCATGATATTTATGGCCAGATCTGCTGGGCTGGCGCGTAAAAAGTTAACCAACCGCATTAAGGCCACCGCAATGGCACCACAATGGGCACCCACACACCCACCCACCCACATTGGTATATAACCAGGTTTACAGGCATTAACACTTGTTCAAGGAAGTCGTGGGTGGGGGTGGGGGTGTCTGTTGATGTATGGTGTCCGGACGACGACAGAGCAGCACCATTAGAGATGCAAATGATTATGGCTTTTGGATATGGTGACGGCTCAGCCTGCGAGGCCTGCTTGCCTCGAGCTGATCCGCTGAGTGCCGTGTCGCCACGTGCGAGATGTGTCAGCTGCAACAGGTTGCTGCAGGCAGGATGCAAATGCCAGTGGCAGTCAGGGTCTCCCAAACGGAATCACAGTGACCTTCTCTACGCCTAACATTTGGTAGGTTTAAGTAGTTTTCGGATTACCTTTTATTATCGTAAAGAAGCATACATTTTGCAATATAAAGGAGGCCTTTTCTAATCAAAATTTAATTAAATAAAGAATCGGGGTCACCAAAACGGAATCTTAGTAATCTTGCCTACTGCTAACATTTGGTAAACTTAAGTACTTTCGGATTACCTTATATTGTCAGCAAAGAATCATAAGCATTTCGGAAGCCATTTCTAAACAAAATTTAATTAAATAAAGAGTTTAATTAAAGTAAAGAATCATACAATTTTCAATAATCAAAATTTAATTAAATAAAGAATAGGGTAACCAAAACGGAATCATAGTGGCCTTCCCAACTTATAACATTTAATAAGCTTTAATAGTTTTCGGATTACGTTTATACATATTTTCAGTAATTAACATTTCGATAAAAGTGTAATAAAATAAATAATCTGGGTCGCCATATATCTGAATCACTCTGCAACATTACCAATATCACTCATCTCAATTACTTTTTTTCTTCCGGTATTACCGGTGGTGGTGTTAAACTACTTTTTTTAAAACCTAGTTTTACATGTGGTGTCAGTGTCACCAAATCAACATAGAGATAGACCATTATATGTTATTGGCTCGTCAATTACTAACATTACATCCTATTTCTGTCATTTTAAAATGGCTTTGGAGTTGATCGTAAATTTGCGAAAATATGCTTTATGATAAGATAAATAAATACTAAAAGCTGTGGAAGTTGAAACAAAGTTGCAGTAAGGAAAAGCCGCCAACTAGGGTTTTCCACACCCGACAACCAGTGGCCAATTAGCACTTCAGTGCCGTCAGAAATTGAGTGCTCCGTTTGGAAAAAATTAAAAACTTGCCCAGACAACTCACGACAAAAACTTGACCTCCAAAGTCGGCGGCTGATGAGCGGACTTCGCAACCGCGAGCATTAACATACTTTCGGCGGTACTCGCTTAATTCGATGTCGCGGCAATCAGAGCCGTATTCAAGTGTTCAACTGTTCAAGTATTCAAGAGTGCAAAGAAGATGGCCCAGACAAACCGTCTAAAGCGAACTCAACATTTGCATACGCACTTCTGCGGGTCTTTAATGGCCAACTGCAGTTGCAGTTGCAGTTACGGGTTGCATTTCGCATTTCGCATCTCGCATTTGCAGCCTGCGATTGCAACAGGTTGTGGGGAACTCAAGGGTCCCATAAAGAGGAAACTAGTCAGGCGGCGTTTAATTTATGGGCTCCAACTGGAAATGTTGCAATGCCCCGGCTTGGCGCTAAAATATTATATGACAGACGACAGCCCCTCCAAAAGCAAGGAGTCAGCGAATTTGAAGTGGGTAGACAACAATTGCCAAATGTCTGATTGATTTGCGATGCCGAAATGTGCATTTAAAATTCATAAATGTGCCTTGTTGCCTTGTTGCCATCTTGCCTTGTTTATTCTGGGCTGAAGTTACCTACCACCTGCCCAAAAAAAAAAGGAAGGGGAGGTATCAATAACACACTCGTTAATTCGCTTAGCAGGCGAATGGAAGATGAAACTGGGTAGGCCTAAACTGATTTGCATGCCATATGCGATACGTTTGATATCTTTGAAGTAGCTGTCCTGGCAACTTATCCCTGCAGATCCTGGGAGACTTGCAGGATATATGTTATGTGTGGAGAGCACATTACCCGTGGCAAAGCATTTAAATATCATTTGTCACAATGGTGGGACACCGGAGGAGACAAATGATGGCGCGGCCATTTCAGTTGTCCAGTGTCGGCGATAAATCAAAAATTCTTGAGCTCCTGCCGTCAACACCTGAAAGTGGTCCACTATTTCCGACTGCCCGACTCCTCGACTCCCCTGAATCCCCACCAGGTGTGGATGCGAATGCAAATGGAAATCTAGCTCCGCTCTGGGCCCCAAAAGTGCACTCATAAATATCTCAATTTGCCTTTATTAACCGAAACGGCTGTTACTATTCCATGAGTCTGCTGGGTTCGGGGAAAAACTATTTCCTGGGCACGTTTTCACCTGACTCCAACAAATTTCCGGCGTGCGAGTGTCGAGAAGTTGACAAAAGCGAGTTAGTTAGTTTTAGTTTGGATGGGCAATGTTGGCCAATTAAAAATTACCAACATTTGAGGATTATGGAGTTATATTTAATACTTTTGGGGGATTTGGAAACAATCAAAAACTCACAAGGTAATAAATTTAGCTTTTACTATTTATATATTTACATAAATCTGAACTGTCAAATCTCTACTAATGCTACATTAGAAAGGTCGACTTCAAAAAAATCCATACGATAATTACGTATATTGCAAATCTGATTTAGTTAATTCAGGTGCTAAGCTTGCCTACTTTTTATTAAGCACAAAAACCAATTACCAATAAATGAAAGGTCTTAAAGTGATTTTTTTTATTAGATCTATGTAAGATTGCTACTAAAATTGGTTCCACCAAAATTTGAGTGCGGCTCATAAATCTTTTGGATATGAATAAGAGGTCTTTAATTGATGTGAATGCGTGCTAAATTGATACTAAAACGTTTTCCACCAAAAAATGAATGTCTATGTGGCAGAAAAAAGAGGTTTTTAACCAATCTTAACATAGATGTTTATTAAACAAGCCACCAATCTAAAGAGTTTTCGTTTAAAAACAAAAAATTCTTAAAATCTCTCTAATGCAATCGTGACTGTATTATTGCCTTAGAAATTATAGCCTTTTAAAAATTTAATTTTTAAATAGAAACTCTGAATTTTCACTTTATAGAAAAAAAATGTTTATAATTCCCCGAATTCAATACTAAATTATTTGTTTAAAATGGACAAAGTATTTACCACTTTTACTTTTATGATACTGTGTTGGCTTGTAAATTTTCACACGATTTTAGACGAGTTAACTGAATCATAAATACCTTTGTATTTAGAAATGGCCACCACAGAACCTTAATTGACTTTCGAAAGATTTCAAAGAATATTTGGTTGCCAAGTCCTGCTTTTTTTCAACGAAAACTTCAGCCACTCACCTTCGAAAGTTGTCCCTCTACTAGGAACTAGGATGAAGTCGGGAACGGGGATCCTTTTGGCCGCACACACACTTGTTGCCCGGTCGAATGTGAAACAGTTCTGTGCGAATGTCTGCCGAAACATCCTGTTTTATATGCTGTCCTTTGTGAGGCTCCAAAGGAGGCAGTTGCTGCTGTTGCTGCTGCTGCGGTTGTTGCTTGTGTGGGCGCGCGCAACAAGTGCTGCAGCAACATGTTGCCAAAGGACATTCAATGGCAGTGGTTTTCGGTGTTCGCTGCCTTTTGTTAACACTGCACTTTTTGCTGCTCTTAAATGCACTAGTCAGCCAGATTAGCAGTTGTATAGTGAGTTGAAAAAACCTTGACAATGTCGGGAAATGGACTCTGGTCAGTTGCTGATATGTTTTTTGTGCTTGTCAGCGGCTGTCAGCGCGACAAAAGGCCAAAAGCAGTCCGCATTCATTTTGACTTATTAGCCAGAAGCACTACCAACAACAAAAACAGCAACAACAACAATGACGTAGCAACATTTCGTCGCCAGTTTGCTGGCCACTCGAGTACCAAATTGTATGCAAATCGCCCACAATTGTTATGTTACGCCCACTTTTAAGTCGGCTGGAAAAGGAGGAGATGGAGGAGGAGGAGGAGGAGCAGGAGGAGCAGCAGAAGGAGCAGGGGAATCCTGGCCCAGGCACGTCCAATTAGCCGACGGCAAGTGGATCGACTACGTGTCCGTATGCGTTATAATTTGCCCTTGCCGTCGCGGCGTTTATGGCGCTTTATGGCCCTGTAACCTGTAACGGGATACACTGTGGCGCCTCAGGCATCTCATCATCCACATCCACATCCTCAAGCAGCCCCCATCCCCATCTCCACCAGCTTTTCTAAGACTCGACTCTTTTGGGTGGAGCTGTGAAACTGTTCAAAAAGGCGGAAGTCTGTAATTACGGCCCGGCAAAAGGCCAAAGTTTTTGAAGAGAGACTCGCCTAAGACGCACTGGCGTTTCATCGACTGACTTTTGGCCACCACGCATGACTGGGCAGAAATGTGTCGGGTTTGTTGGCCAGGTTTATTGTGTCCCCTGCGCTCTTTACGATCGCTCAAAATCAATACCAAAAACACGCGCGATAACCACGTCTGCAGATTGCCCATTTGCATAAAAAGCCGCGAAAAACGAAAACGAAACCAAAATAGCTGGGAAAGAGATAAAACAAGACTAGCTCAAGTTCAGAGCTTGGGTTTGTTGACCAGGCCAAGTCGTGTGCCAGTCCCCCAGTTTAAAATAGACCAGCTATACCAAGTTCAAGCCATCTTGACAACATGGTCTTTGAATCTGTCTAGTCACTCCTGAAACCATTGTTTTCTGCCCATTTGCATTTGAGTTCCATTTCTATTCCTCTCAAAGAAGTATTTTTATGTTTAAATTTAAATAAAACAGAAATTAAGATGTTTATTGTGTTTGTTTATTGATTTACTATGTTATGGTTTTACGACTTTACATCATGTTGGTATAAGGATTTCCTGTTGAAGCTATAAATAAGTGTGTGTAATAATTGAAATTTACACTTTTAACAGTATTCAATTAAAGAGTTATGGAATAATAGGTATATCTAATTAAAAAGCCTTTTTTTTCTTTGTTTTTAATACAACTTAAAATAACTATTTTAAAATTATATTTAAATTGGTTACAGCTTGTAAACATTTAAGGTTTTTACGGCTTTTTTCTATCAGTCCTTATAAAACCAATTCAGTTGAAAGGGAAAAGCATTTAAATATTTAATTTGATCACGTGGTGTTTTGAATATTTTTGGCCAAACTGCGAGGTGAGCAGAGGTCAGGTCGTTCGTTGCCACTCTTCACTCTCATCTTGGCCATTTTGATTAGCCCGATTAGCTGCAGCCCTGGCTGAAAATCAATTCATAAAATAGATGCCGCGCCGCTTTTTCGATGTCAATGCCATTGTCAATTTGCGGCTGCTACTCTTTCTGTTTTTGTTTGTGTTTATGTTTCTTTTTGTTTTAATGTTTCTGTTTCTTTTTCTGTTTCAGTATCTTTTTCCTTTTCGATTTTGAGTGCTTTGGCCAACAACTGTAACTAACCAGGTTCATCTAATTAATGGCCAGTGCAATGGCGATTTATGTGTGCCATAAAGTGAACTCAGGCATCCGCTTTTCGCCGATCCACCCATCGATGCGGTTCGTTAGCATTAATGGTTGGGGGCAAGATGATTTCCCTGTAGACCACAGTGCGTATGCGCAACGCAGTCGGTGCCGGGCCGAAAATTGAATTGTTTGGCTTGGCCAAAAAGCAATTGCATCATGCTCTGCGTGCTGGCGGATGCACTGGCTCCGGAATTGAGTGGTGAGCAGGCGAAACGGGCGAGCACCGGGCGACGATCGTTTACTTAGAGCGCAGCGAAGTGAGAAAGCGGCGCACAGTAGTTTAACCCCTGACCAATGGCTCTACAGGGGGTTAAGGGGTACCGAATGGGTTAAGAGGGGTGAGGAGGGGTAAAGAGGGGTTAAGCAGGGTTGAGAGGGGTTAAGAGGGGGCCAGGGGAAACCCCCCTTGCCTGCGTTTGTGTGTCACTGCTCGAGTCTCTCTCTCAGATTCGAAGCGTCTATGTGCACAGAAAGAAATCTGAATATGATATGATAATTAGGTTCAAGAATGAACTTATTTATTTATAAAATGTTATTATCAATTTCTTTAAAAACCATTTCCATCTATTATAAAAATAACAAAGTTTTATTTAGCTTAATAGAAATATACAAAATATATGAATTTTAAACAGTTTTTTACACTCTTTAAGTTAGTCCAGCTAATTTTTAGTGCGAAAGCCATTATAACCAACTCATTTGAAAAATTAAAAGTTTTCCCACTCCTAGGGACCATTTTCTTATTCTTTTTTAAATCATTTTGGTACGACGTCTTTAGAAACGACGTCAAAAAATGATGGATACGCAAATGAATTTATTCTTTATTTTGTATTATTCACATATCTACATTTAATAAAAACTTAAAAAATGTTGATACCCTAAACCGAGTTTTCAATACCAAAACCATTTCCCAATAAAATCATTCAAAAAATATTCTATCTATTTTTCCGAGGAATTTAAATTTAAACTCCGAAGTGTTTTAATGCCATAAAATGATGCAAACATAAGTAAATGTAAGGTTCATCACATTCACATATGACTTTTATGAGCAATGTATATATGTGCAATATCCACATGTGAAACTCTTACGTGAAATGTAAATATCTGTTTGACCTGACACGGAGCTGCTTTTTTTCTGTGTGGCAGCTCGGAAACTAGCTACCAGATCTCGGATAGGAGTATGTGCAGCTGAGTGTGCGCCAAAGCCAAAGCCAAACTAGCCGATGCGATACATAGTTTGGCCCAAAGTTGTTTTCGTTTTATTTTCTATTAGGTTGGCTGGGAGTGCGAGACTCTTTTCGTGATCAGTTTGTGTTTAGCATTCGGTGAGCGCGGGTCAACAGTATCTGAATCGAGTCCGGATCCGAATCTGAATCTGAAACCGCAAAGTATCTACGTATCTGGTTAAAAGGGTCTGCCATCGTTGCCAAGTGAAGGTGCGATCAAACTGATGCGTTTAATTTAAACAGTAGTTAAAATCGAAGACAGTTCAGTGACGACAATGCAATTAGCATGCGAATTCAATTCATTAACCAAGTCCAAGGCACTCTGCATATTTTAATGGATTTTATAATAAAAGACTTAAGCCATAAACGTGATAAGTCCTTGGTTGTCTAGCCGCATAGTTGAATATGTTTCCCAACCGCTGTATATACTGTATACTGAAAATGTCGTGACTTTAGCCTGCTGCATCCACTCCTTGATTTTATTATCGCATTGTTGACATCTCTGGCTGCTCCAAACTGGTTGTCCCCAGAAGAAAAGCCTCGCATGCAAACAAACCAAGGAGCAGGAGCCACTTTTCGGTTATTTTCCAAATTGGGAAACTGGGAATCCCAGGCTGTCCAGTTGGCTGGGGCATTCTTCTCCAGCAAGTGCTGCTGTCGTCTAGCATGCAATCACCATATCAATTGCCATAAATTGTAGTCTGTAGTTCCCATGACTGGCGGAATGTTTTGGCTATCCGGGAATCGTTTAATGGCTTTTGCCTTTTGATCGTTTTAGATGCTAACTCGATTGCCCCTCGGAGCAGTAGCAGATCTCAAATTGCAATAATTACCGCAAGTGGCAAGTGTTGCACAGCAGTTTCTGGCCGAGATTAGCGGGTTAGCAGGCTGTGGCCGTGTGTGTGTGTGTGTGGCAATCTCTTGGCCCGATTAAAACCCACCTCTGCCCTTTTTCACTTTCGAAAATCACGTTCGCTGCCGCAGTCTTTGGTATCAGCAATGAACTACGCCTGATGGCTGCGATCTTGGCCGCAGGCCTACCATTCTTGGGCCAATGCTAAAGTCGTTAACAGCTTTTAGCTTTTAATTTCGGACCAAGGCATTCAGAATCGCCATAAAAAGAGAGCTATAGTTATCGCAACGCTTTGTTGTTCGCTTTTTATACTCTTACAGGGGGTATTTGAATTTTAATTAAATAATTGTAATGTAATTGAGGCAAACTTTTATGGTGCAATATTTTATTTAGTTCTGTAAAATTAGTTAAAAATCAGATTTATTGAGTATGAACTTAATAGGCATTATATTTCTTAAAACTGCCATTAGCTATACAAATTAAATGTTGCCAACTTTTCGCAGATAAAATATATATATAGCTGTGGATCTAGCCAAATTAGTTGGGGTACCAGGATTTTTATATCAGCAGGGGGTTTTAAAAAAAATTGTTTAAACCTTTCCTTTCTAATAACATTTTTTACCCGAGGGTGGTATTTGAACCCTCTATTTTCCTCCCCTCCGTGGAAATTCACTCATTAATGTTTTTAATACAAATGAGAAGGCATACAAACATCGGCTTGCCGCTGGGCAGTTCCCTTCTCGTTATGGCTTCAGTTTCACTTGTCACCCCAACCCCAACTCATTGCGGCTCTGCTCCGCCAACCAGAAGATTACAGGTAGAGCAGGCAGTCCGCCTTGTTAGCCGGGGTCCAAG